GCACCAAAGGATGAGGTTTCTTTCCCGTCCTACAAATTGAAACCATTCTAGCTTGATACTGCGATATCGTCAAATCATCCAACGGAGCATGGAAACCATTTCGGTGGCGGTAATGGCCTCCAGTAGTTTTCTATGGAACCATACCACTATGGTATGGAAAGTGTTGCTATGTCAAATCGAGATTATGTGGGTGTTCAGCTTATTAAGCAATTCGTTCGTCCTCAATAGCTCAGTTCGGTAGAGCGATCGGCTGTTAACTGATTGGTCGTAGGTTCGAATCCTACTTGGGGAGATTTGATTCATTCTTCCCAGTGAACTCGACGATTCCTTCCCTGCACGTTCTGCTCGACGACGATATGACTGATAATCAGAAGCGAGAGGCTCTGCACAATAAATAGTCAGGATAGCTCAGTTGGTAGAGCAGAGGATCGAAAATCCTCGTGTCACCAGTTCAAATCTGGTTCCTGGCACAGAAAAAACGATCTGTCGAATTCCAGTAAAGCCTATCTCGCTTTTAGCCTTCATGGTGAATGGCCCACCCTTTCTTTGAACCTTGTCAATGGAAGGTTTTTTTACGGCTAAGATGTTTCAGTTCGCCCCGACATGAAGCTACCACTTCTCTCCTATTGTTTCAAGTTGTTATCCTTTGCCATTTCTGATGTGAATGAGGGAGGTTGTCTGCCCGGGTAGGGGTGACCGGAACCCTCCCAAGTCATCGCTCAAAAAAGCACCACAGTCACACGAGAAAGAGTTTGGACTATGACGAAGACGAGCAAGCCTTTGTTGGGGAGTGATCGGGGAAGAGTCGAGTACAAGAGGAAGGTGGAAGGAAGAAAGCGCCAGAAGCACCAGGTGCAAAGATAGACCATCAAAGAACTCCACGGCAGAGCAAAAAAGAGAAAGGCAAGGCTCACAAAGAACAAAGGCTCAACCATCAGATCCAACACAAAGCGGTTAGCTGCGGATCCAGTGGATAATGCAAGACTACAACGTATAGTGTTACCGACGATGTTTCGCTTTCGTCTTCGGTGCCTAGCATGGTGCTATCATCACATTGATCTACCCACCCTTCTATTCCCTTCCCTAGCTTTCGTGTTTGAGTAGTCGTGCCAGATTTTGATTCGGATGCAAACTTAGCACAATGCCCGGTAAGCTAAAACTCGATTCTACATCTCCGAGAATGCAACAAACTTCTACTTCTAGATAGGTCTAATAGATAGACGGCTAATAGATAGACAAGGGGGGCCACTAGTCCTGTATTGCGGTAGTTCAATACATACTGACAACGAGAGAACGAACCCAGTACCTATAGTACAACAAACACCACGCATCACACCCTTTGTAGGTTCAAGCCGAAGTCAAGCATGATCACCTACTGCAAACTCCAAATATCGTGGTCGGCGTACCTAGTCCTGAACTGCTTTTAATCTAGAATAAGAGGAATCTTCTCGGCACTCTCCTTCATCTTCTGTGGCCCCGTCGGTCGGTATGTGCCAACCCCAACAAATCGGGGTACGACAAAGGTTCCCGTAGAGTGCTTCAAAAGGTGCCATTCCGATGCTAGAGTGATAGCAGTTGTTGTAAGCAAACTCGGTTGATGTATCTCTATGCATATTTAGTAGGCCTGCTCATTTATGCTCTTCGGGCCGATTGTATGGGATGTGTTCTGGTGTACAGTGGGAGATGCAAGGATATCGATTGAAGTTTGATTTGTTGGCCATGGAGTTGGGAGCTCTTTTTTGACCCCTTTGATTTGCCTTATCACTACTGCCACGGATTGAGCGAAAGCCGCCCAAATGAAGATCAGATCACGAAAACATTCTACGATCAATCAAGTTATTCCCTATATCTTTATATAAAATAAGAAGACAGAGAGACTCGGCTTCAAGATGGAGATTGACCATCTGCACCTGCTCATTCAATTATTCTATTCTGAGAAATCCGGACTACAATCTTCAGACAGAGGGTCCCTTCGCCTCAATACTGTTGTCCGTTGGATGCATCAAATTGGTTTCGCAGATCTCGCCTCGCACTCACTTAGAGGTCGTGTCCTTTCTCTTCTCTTGCTCTTGCGGCGGACACAGTGATTCGTCGTTCTCTGGTTGATGGCTTTCAAAAGTCAATTCCAGAAAGAGCCATTTGATCCCCATCAAAGTCTGCGGTTGCTTCTGGTCCAGAAAAAATCATAGTAAAGTTTCATCACATATTTAGGGATGTCTACTAATTGGAGATAAGGCTAAGAAGTGACCAATAGTACATCAAGTCTTATTGTCTTCTCGTGACGGACCTAATATAAGACTATCTTATCAACCATTGTACATGACCTAAGAGATCATCTCTTAATTAAAAGAAGGCAAGCATTTTCTTATTGTTTCTCTCTCCTCCACCTCATCAACTATAATACCTAAATAGTTACATGGTTTAAGCATGGAATAGAAGCTTGCAAGAGGCTCAAACAACCACCACCAACTGACACCGAGGCCGAAACTTGTAAGGTACCACAACCACACACCAAACAACTCCAATCTCCTCTCAGAGCAAATACTCTCTACAACAGCAACCCGACACGATATAACAACGACAGAAAACACCCACTATAACATAATTAGAACAGAAGCCAACATAGATAAAATCCCAAAAAAATAACTGGCCATCCCATGAAGCCCTCGCTTGCTCAGCTTGGCTGCCTGCTCCTCTCGCTCGCTTAGTTTTTTTCGCTTGCCCTCCTACTAGCTCGCAAAAATTTGGCTATTTTTTTATTTGAAAATTTTAGTTTAAGTAAAAGATGTTCAAGGATTTAAATATTGTGAATTTTAAAAATCATGAATTTAAAAAATATTTGTGGATTAAAAAATGTTTGAAAATTTGAAAACTATTCACAAACTTTAAGAATAATAGTGAACTTTAAATATTAGTGATTTTTAATAAATATTAATGAATATAAAAAGGTGAATTTTAAAAATGTTTTGTATTTTGATGTTCACAAATTTTAATGAGTAGTCATGAATAAAAGTGTGAAAGAAGGAGCAATAAACTAAACATCAAAGAACCTTATATGTGGGGCTCTCAACGACCTCACAATCCCCAAAGCACCACTTGGCCTCTTCCAATGCACAAGTGCTAAGATGGGGTGCTATGTGCATTAAAAAGTTTAGCAACTAAAGTCTCCAAAGCATAGGTGCTTAGTTTGTTGTTGCTAAGCTTCGTTCATTTAACTGTTTAACAACTAAACTCTTCTATGCATAGGGCAAACTTCTTTCATCTAATTGTTTTGCATAGGTCCGCACGTTTGGCATTTGTTCTTCTTGGGTCACCAAACTCCTCTCTCTCCTCTTAACTACCTTGCCACATCAGTTTTTTTATCTATGTGCGAGTGCTAGCCCCACTGCATGGCGGTTTAAGGGAGACGATAGCATAAAGAAACTGGAGAATGAGTTGATGAACCAAGTTCAAGAAGGATGAGACAAACATTTTAGGAGGTTTCTCTCTATCTCCTTTTGTTTTTATTTTTTGTTTGATTTTCCTTTATTTTAGTACATGACAGTAGTTTATTGGTCATAATCTTAGTTCTCAATTGAATTGATATTTTGAGATAACCATGGTAAACTTAGATCACTCGAATTTAATTGATATTGTTTTAGATATGGTGTCGCCTTTCACCTTTTCCTTCTCTTATGATTATTAAAATAGAATTATTTCTGTCTGATTTTAGGCCCACCAGAGCCTACGAGCATAAGGCTTACTTCTCATTCCCCACTTTCATCGCCGCATCCCTGGAAAAAAATTACTAACGTTAAAATACCCCATCAACGTTTGCGGTACTTTTTTGCCTTCTCTGTTTTCTTTTTACTTTTCATATCAGTCTATCGAAGGTTCAAATGAACATATGTTTATATGTTCCTTCCATGGTTTTACTATTTCCGTTTCCATAGATTTTCCTTCTATATAGTGATATAAATTCCTGCCGCAATGCACAAAGGTATTATCTAGTTTATCTTATGTGACAGTTCTAAGAAAGCATCATTGTACAAGTTATTACCGAGCAGGAAGCTAACACATCTACCGCGTTAGGAACTTGAAGCAAACGGATCGCCGGTCCCTAGAGGCGAAGAAGGTACCGGTTCAGCTCGTAAATTCAGAGAAGGAACAGACTGGGTTGGCTCACTTTTACCTGCAGAATACAAACAGTTCCTCTGAACATGAGTCATGAGGGAGAAAACTACTCCCTCCGTAAAGAAATATAAGAGCATTTAAATCACTAGAATACTGATCTAAATACTCTTATGGGAGTATATAAATGACATCAAACAAGGGCATGAAGGAGTTGAAATTTGTGCCTCAACCACCTCTTTGCACAAGACCACACAGACAACGCCAAACCAGACATTTGTCCGGATATCGTTAGGCGTCTGGAAGGGCAATGACTCCACTTCCCTCAGACATCATCAGTTATATGCCAGTCAGCTACCATCAGAAAAAAATATTGAGAAAATACAATTGTCCCACTAGTGGCAAAATTTAAGACAATTGCCGGATGGAAGCAGATAGCTGCAATCCGGTAAAGCTAACAAAGACTCATCAACCGACACCTTCAACTCGTAGAGCGGCAACCAAAAAGGTCGCTTCTGATATAACCAGGTACCAACTCAACTGAATGAAATAATAGCAACTAATTTTCTACTAAATCAGCGACAATTAATATGGGAACGGAGGGAGTACCTGATTTAGCACAGCACACAAACAACCGAACACAAGCTTCATGTTTCATCTGATATAGAACAGAAGAAATAAAAAACAAAAGGAAAGGAAAAAAAAACATCTCTTCTAGCTGATTCAGGACAGGACACAAACAACCGAACACGAGCTTCACCGGCTCGTAATGTTAAGCGACTTAAAACTAGAGGTTGCTACTAGCAGCAGAGGGTTCGATTATACACTCGAGGCGTTCTCAAAAAGGCTATAACCGAGTCCTTCAAAATGTGAAGGCACCAAGAGTTAGTTTATGCGTCTCTTCGCGACCTTCGGCGCGGCGCATCCTTGTCATCCTCCATGTCGCCGCTGCTTCCAGCGGCGGCATCAGGTACGACAGCACTGGGCTTCTTGGTCTCAGCAGCGGGCTTCACAGGTGCCTGAAAGAAGCAAAATCTACAATCAGTCGTTTGGTTCAGGTTTTAAGCAGTATACAGAAATGGCAGGTGTCAAAAGAATATCGTACCACTGGCTTCTTGCCACCAAACAGGGCTCTGAAGAGTACAGTCACAATGACGACGATGACAGACGCCAAAATCGAAATTGTAATGTTTGGCTGTGTCTCTCCCTTCTCAATCACATCCTGGGAAACAAAGAGAAATTAGATGTCATTTTTCAGAGATGACACCAAACTGTTTGAACACAGGATATAAGGATATTGAGCCCTACAATGATCTTGGTCTTGTATGGTTCCAAGAACGGGATGTCTGCAACTTTGTACAAAATGTCAAAGATCTTCTTCTGCAGTGTGCATACCAAATCAGTCAGTGATAACATGCAAGCAGTGATACAATAAAGGATTTAAAAAATAATAGTTGGAGATATGGAACAAAACATGAATCTGACAATGCCAACAAAAGTTCTCTGCTTCACTGAAGGAATGTCAAACATAAAATGTCTGGAAAATGTCAGAAGAATGAATTACCTGGAATTCAGAAAGGCCTTCTGATGCACCTGCTGCAGCCTCCTCAGCCTTCTGCTTTTCCTTCTCAACATCAAACTTGGGCTTCCATGTCTTCTCCAGGATAGAGGTGGCTACCTTCTCATTGTCGGCAATAAGAATGTTGTCAAACAGGATGCCATCCTGCATTGTCCAGATCTCAATTCCAATAGCGGCAATTGGGTCAAAGTCAGGCTTGTCAAGCTCAAAGTACTCAGGGTTGGAGATTTCTTGGGGCTTCCAGATTCCCTTGTAGTTGGGGTTGTCAATCAGGGGGGCATGCCACTTGCCCTTGTAGGCAGGGTTATCCTTCATCGGCTTCTTCCATTCACCACATCCAGGTGCCACTTCGCACTTGGGGTTGTCCATCTTGGGTGCCTCCCATTCGCCATCCTCCTCATCATCCCAGTCCTCAGGCTTAGCAGCTTCTGGATCATCAATTTCCTCAGGCTCATCATCCAACCATCCTTCTGGCTTGGTGGCCTCCTCATCCACAATTTCCATTGGGGCATCCTCATCCCAGTCATCGGGCTTCACCGCAACTGGATCAGGGATCTTAGCTCTCTCGTCCCAGTCCTCTGGCTTCTTGTCGTCAGGGTCAGGAATAGTCTTTGATGGAATAAGTGCCGGCTCAAAATCAGCAGCAGACAGGAAGTTTGCTTTACTCTTCTCCACCCCATCAACCAAAATTCTGACCTCATTATCCGGCTTCAAGATAGCCGTGTAGACATGAGAGAGCTTGTCATATGGGACAGAGGGTGGGGACTTGAGGTGATGTTCAACGTATTTGCCAGTCTTAGGGTTCTTGTGCTTCAGGATGAAGTGAACCTTGTTCGTTGAACCACACTTGTCGGGACCAAACATAATTGTGTATGGAGTATCATTGTCAAAGTCCTTGGCGTTCCATCCGGTAGCCTGAGGACGGATGTACTTGATATAAGCACCTCCACACTCAAGGCCATTCTGAAGCCTCACTTCAAACTGCAGGACAACTGTCTCATCCTTCATAGTAACTGGGTAATCAAGTTCTTTGATTATGGCATATTTCCTGGCTGGCTCGCTAACAAGGAGACCATAGTCTTCATGGCCATCACTCTTCGCGTGCTTCCATACACCTGCATGGCAGATTATATCAATACTTGATACATGGCAGTGCTATACAAAAAATATTGGGGAACAGCAAATTTTGACAGAAAATGGAGTCGGGTGGACAACTAGCTGACTGGCAAAACCTAAACTAGGAAAGGCATGGGAAACAACGCATACAATCAAAGAACAAGAAGCATAAGTTTAACGCATAAACCCAATCCAGTAAGGGGATAACAGGGCAAAATCATGAATGAACTATATAACAAGACTTGCAAAGAACATGATTCTACAGCTAGCCATCTATACCATAACAAATCACCGTTCCATTTGTATCATCAGAATCCCGATCAAAAAAATTAAGTCATAACGTTACCAAGCTATAAATCACCTATTAATCCTTTTCAAAAAAAATCACCTAGTAATGTTACATGGTTAAGAGCAAAGGTGCTGCATTTTCCGTCGACCATATGACGTGCTAGCAGGGAAATGGAATATAGAGCAACAATTTTAATTAACCTGATGCAGAATCATGCGGATATTGATATACAGACAACTACCCCAATGCAGAGAATTCCTGCATTTTTTTCTCGATGTTTCAAATGCAGTTCATCCACATAAATTAAACTGTCATCACAAGGAAGGCAAGAACAAGTAGCCAATTCACCTCTCAAAAGGCAACATCTGCCTGATACGGGCGACACAACACACACAACATATTCTGGATCTCACGGTCGCCAAACGTCTCGCTCCGAATAATTCATCACTACCTCAACTAAACAACTGAATCGAATTTCACACAGGAGCGCCTCACAGCCTCAGCAGATCATATTCACAACCTCAGAAGCGAGTAGAGGATCGCACGGAACAGATCAGAAACCCAACCGCCCGCTAAACCCACGCGAGGATCTTCTCACAGATCGAATAACACGCAATGGAAAGGCGAGAGAATTACCTTTGTACTCCTCCTTGCCGGACACGATCCAGCTCCCGTCGAAGCTCTCGTTGAAGGACTCGTGGAACAACTGCAAAACCACACGCAAAACATCACAAATCTTGCCCAAAATTGAGAGGAAAAAAGAACTGGATGCAGCGGCACGAAGCCGGAGAGATCAATTACCGGATCCGACGCGCGGATCTGCGCGAACAGCGCCGTGATCACCAGCAGCGGCAGCAGGAGCACCGCGCGCCCTCCCATCATTCTCCTCCGCGATCTCTCTGGAACCGGAAGGAACTTCCACTGGTGTCGATCTTCGAAGCGACCGAGACTGGGGGAGGAGAAGGGTGTAATTGAAGGAGAGACGGGGAACGGTTGGACGGCTGGGATGAGTCTGGACGGAGCATGCGACGGCCGGGATGTGCTGGACGGGGAGGTTGTGTCGCGAGACGTGGCGTGAGTCGTTCCGGCCAATCAGGGGCTGCTTGGACGGGATGTTAGCCAACGGGAGCGTGCCACGTACGCGCGGTGACGCCTGGACCCACCGGGGTTCCACGTGGAAGCTCTGGGCGGTTTTTTCCTCTCGCTGACTTTGTCAGATCTTCCTTTCTCTTCACATGTTTTCTTTTAGCTAAAAAGCTTTATATTCATACAAAACGTCTCCGGCACCGTCAGGCTCGTGACCATAAAAACACGGGGAGTTCATCCAACACTTCGTCATCTCTAAAATGCGGGCTTGTTTAGTACAAAAATGGACCGGAAGCTTAGCAAACAACACACTTTCAAGAAGTGCAAAGGCATTCACATATAGTGGATCTATAATGCCCTAGCATGGCTTGCCTCAAGCGCCCCAAGAAGGCCGAGGAAGATCTAGTAACTCCCCTATACCTCTCAGTTGTGCCTCCGTGGATATAACTGCATCAGGGTTGATTTTAATCCGCTCAACATTCGGGGGTCTCCACTCATGACTGCAATCAAACACAATAAGGGCAAAGGAAAAGGTGGCCCCCTGTGCAGCGGAAAGACGATCCCCCGCTTGAAAAACTCCCGGTGGAGCACGTGCTCGCTGTCAGTCGGCATCGATGGAGCTTCATTCCCGGGCATCATACGCACCAGATCTATCGGCATCAATTTCTCCGACACAAGCTGGTCGAGCTCCTCGGCGCAGGCAGCCGCTGGGAATCACTTCCCCATGGTTTCGTTCGCCACCCGCTTCTTTGGCTCGCCGCCGGCAGTGGCCCTCTTATGCTTTCGCTCCGCGACGACGGGCGCCTGGGCCGAGCTCTGGGCACAGATCCACCCTTGACCGCCCTTAGTCTTACCATTTCGACAAGTGAATACGATTGAAGAAGGGAGGCATGCAAGTTGCGTGGAGCGCGGCAATGACGAGGAGGCAAATAGGTTGAATATGCGGGGATTAAGAAGAAGGAAGCAGAAGGGAAAATTACCCTATCCCTGTTGGAAATATGCCCTAGAGGCAATAATAAAAGCATTATTATTATATTTCCTTGTTCATGATAATTGTCTTTTATTCATGCTATAATTGTATTATCCGGAAATCGTAATACACGTGTGAATACATAGACCACAATACGTCCCTAGTAAGCCTCTAGTTGACTAGCTCGTTGGTCAACAGATAGTCATGGTTTCCTGACTATGGACATTAGATGTCATTGACAACGGGATCACGTCATTAGGAGAATGACGTGATGGACAAGACCCAATCCTAAGCATAGCACAAGATCGTGTAGTTCGTTTTGCTAGAGCTTTTCCAATGTCAAGTATCTCTTCCTTAGACCATGAGATCGTGTAACTCCCGGATACCGTAGGAGTGCTTTGGGTGTACCAAACGTCACAACGTAACTGGGTGACTATAAAGGTGCACTACAGGTATCTCCGAAAGTGTCTGTTGGGTTGACACGGATCGAGACTGGGATTTGTCACTCCGTATGACGGAGAGGTATCTCTGGGCCCACTCGGTAATGCATCATCATAATGAGCTCAAAGTGACCAAGTGTTTGTTCACGGGATCATGCATTACGGTACGAGTAAAGTGACTTGCCGGTAACGAGACTGAACAAGGTATTGGGATACCGACGATCGAGTCTCGGGCAAGTAACGTACCGATTGACAAAGGGAATTGTATATGGGGTTGATTGAATCCTCGACATCGTGGTTCATCCGATGACATCATCGAGGAGCATGTGGGAGCCAACATGGGTATCCAGATCCCGCTGTTGGTTATTGCCCGAGAGCCGTCTCGGTCATGTCTACGTGTCTCCCGAACCCGTAGGGTCTACACACTTAAGGTTCAGTGACGCTAGGGTTATTAGGAAGACTTGTATGTGATTACCGAAAGTTGTTCGGAGTCCCGGATGAGATCCCGGACGTCACGAGGAGTTCCGGAATGGTCCGGAGGTGAAGATTTATATATGGGAAGTTGTCATGCGGACACCGGAAAGTCTCGGGGGCATATCGGTATTGTACCGGGGCCACCGGAGAGGTTCCGGGGGTCCATCGGGAGGGGCCACCCCTCTCGGAGGGCCACATGGGCCGCAAGGGGCAGGGAACCAGCCCCTGGAGTGCTGGGCGCC